TCGGCGTCTGAATAATGATTTTGAGAATCAACCATCATTGCAACATCATCATCGTTCGATAGTTCGAACATTGTATAAGTTAACGGAAACATCGATATTGGAAATCTGTACTGAAGCGAGGACACTCTTCTAGTACTTCCAACATGAACATTCATTGAAATCTTCGTTATCAGCTCCTCAAGAGTTATGTTTCTCTTGAAGAATATTTTAACAGAATGATTTGATGCGAACACAATGCCGGTTTCATCTTCCCAAATTTTTCCATCATAGTAAACAATAGCTGGAATACGCTTCATTCTGAGAGTTTAAAAGATAAAGAGTCCTATATCTGCAAAAATAATAGTTGAAATACGCTTAATTAAATAAAATAATATATGAATTAAAATATAACGTAATAAAATATTTAAAAATATTTACAATATAATTTAAACAATGTACTTTTATATTATTACCGTATCGGCAAAAATATCTCAATGTATGATCACACTTTCAAATTTTACAACCACAAAAATAATAGAAATAATTAGTACAATAAATTTTTTTCTTCAAATAATCATATATAAAAATAAATATAATATATTAAAAACTTATCTTACAACGAAGATCGAACGAACTGGTGAAGCAAATATAAGAGGACATGATGAGGTGATGTTTACGGTTGAGAGTGTCTTATTTTATAGCCGGTGGAAAAGTTTAAAGGCCGAGAAATTCAGAACCAATAATGAAAGACGCGGATGGTGATCCACGCTGTAACACCCCCAACCCATATCCGAGTTTGAGGTGTCACATTGACTTTTCAAAACATTTTTATTTACAATTTGCCTAAGTTTTAAGTTCACAATTAAAAAAATGCATATTTTACATTATCTAAAATCAATTGATTTTACAAAGCATATCAGAGCCTATATATAATTCAAAACATTAATTACATGCCAACTACTATCAATAAAACAACATACATATGATTCAAAACCCTTTCTGATATGATCTTTTAGGAAGGATAAACTGACCTGCCTTGCCTTGCCTATCATTGCTTTGCTCCTCTTTTTGCTTCTGGGAACCTAAGTGTGAAATACTCACACGCTAAGTCGATGACTTAGTGAGACATTAAACTTATAAATGAAACTCTAACTACTTAAATATGCATGAACATATTATACAATGCTATCACACAAAACAATATAACATTACATATAATCAAATGTACACATATACATATCTTGTCATTATTATCAATAAATCATTTCATTATCAATATTATATTCATTCATACCTTTTAGTTATCTATTCTTACACTTAACCTTCTTAACTATCATATGATTTATTTAACCAAACAACACATTTCATATCACAAAGCATATACATCACATATATTGTATTTGTTGTTATCTCTTTATTAGGTCATGTACACATGTGAGAACTAAAGATATGCGAGTACATAGAGTTTGTGCACATATGCTGTCACCACAGGTCGTATAATTTCCCACTTATTGGCATATGAATTTATCCCGAAGGACCACATATAACACATATGTCCCGAAGTACCACTCCTTAAGGACCACATACATATTCCAATAGACCAAATAGGTGTACCGAAGTACCCTATTTATGTTCCAAAGGATTACATTTATGTCCCGAAGGACCACGTAGAACCCCTGACTCTTGGCATGCCAACTATACCTCTAGCTCTCATGACACATAACATGGGCATTATCATTTATATCATTTCATATATTCACATAGACACGTAGTTCACTTACACATAATACATTTCTATATAATTCACATATTACATATCTCATGTCATATTCTCATATGGTCACATAGCTCATGTTACTTAATCTCTTATGTCCACATATCACATGTTCATATCATTTCTTATGTCTATATCATATAACTTATATAATCACATAGATCACTTATGCCGATTCATATGGCTTATCACACTAGTATATATTCATACAAATCATGTAACACATGCAATAACATATAACACATATACTTATATAAAACATATGCTTACATTCATGAATTTATGCATTGTACTATAGGAAATAGACTCGTCGTAAGTCCTATTTCCATTAAACATCATACATCACTAGTGTGCACTCACCTGGCCTCACTAGTTAATACCGATCTCTTATCCTTTTTCTCAATGACTATTACTTGTCGACTTGTCCAGACTTTGCTCTTGATCGATATCTACACGAATATACAATCTAATAAATATCAGAATTCAAATTACTTGCAAAGATTCTTACTATTGCAAGCTAATCAAAACACTAATTTCTAAATTCTAGCTTAAGTAGTATCGATACTACAAGCACAGTACTGATACCTCTATACTTGTAGTATCGATACCCTTCTACGGTATCGATACCCAATTTCGATTCGATGATCCTTATTTTCAAAATGATACTGATACTTGCTTAATGGTATTGATACCCCCAGTATCGATACTACTCATTTGGTATCGATATTCTTTGAACAATTATATATAAATTTGTGCCTTATGGTATCGATACTCATTCAACCAGTATCGATACCCATGCTTCAATTATCACTCATTCTCTCTTTAAAATATCGGTACTGAATGAACAATACCGATACCCCTTGCCCAAAATACACTTTTTTAACCCGAAAATCTTACCAAACTTACTTAATTCTTCTACCATAACCTCTTTTTAACCCTTTAAGCTTAACTACACTTATTCAAATAATCTTATATCCATATAACCTATCATCATCTTTAATAACTCATATTAATTCTTGAAACCAAGAATTTTACTAAATTTTCAACATGTTCTTAATTCACTTCTATTACTTCTAACTTCTTCTTCATCAATTCACTTAAAAACTCTTCATATTTAATGCTTCATAACTCATCCATCTTGGAGTTTCAACACATTTTAATCTCTAATTAAGCTTTCTTAACACACCAAGAATCAAAACTAAGCTTAAAACTCAAGAAATAATCATTTTACCAAAACTCACCTTTAACATGAAGCTCACGGTAACGAGGGAGAAGAAGAGAACCCTGTATCTAGACTTTTCTTTTCTTTCCACCCCTTTCCACGTGTTTATATCCTATATAAAGGAAAATAAAATCTTCCTTTTAAAATGACCATTATACCCTCTCATCTTTCCAACTTTGCTAATCAATCCAACATAAAAATTCTCTAATTAAGTCCTCGAACTTTTAACTTATTTCAAAATTGAGCACAAAGTTTTTAAAATTTATATTTTAGTCATTAACCCTGTTTTGGGATGTTACACGTGTCTTTCTGCCACGTGTCAGTAAAATTTTCTGAAATGGTGTCTGATAGGTAAATAAAACGTCAGGCTGATTTTTGGGTAAATACGTCCAATATCTCACCATGTCTAATTGTTGGGTAATTGTCAAATAACCAACTTAGCCATTCTTTAACTGTCCATAATGCACCTTAATTTGGCCAACGAAATTGTGACTTCGAACAAACCTCATTTGAAAAGACACAGTCCCGTAGCACATGCTCTGTGGATTCAATAATGTCTGGACATTTTGAGCAATAAGGGTTAGACCAAAGTCAACAGTAGCAAATATTCTCCATAGTGGGGGACTAAATTCTATATAAATTTCCAGCTTTGTATCTTAATCTTGCGTTGGCAGTCGGTTCCCCAAAGCTTTTGAAAAAAAATTGTTGATTTATTTTGGACAACCCCATCCCCTAACAACATTCGATATTCGCTTATGACATTATACTCTCCTGTCCATTCCACACTCCATACCCTACAATTACAAATCGCAATCGAAAGGAGTGGGATAGATAAAATTTTTCCAGCTTTTATCTAAGAAAAGTCCTATGAATCAACTCCTTATTCCACGTATTTCTATGAGGAAGTAACATATTTGAAACCCATTCAAAAGTCTTGTTCCTCCGATTTGTGAATCGTGTATGTGGTGATTGTAGCAACCAGAAATCATTCCAGACAGAAATATACCTTCTCGATCCAACCCCCCATCGGGTGCCCATATCTAATAATCCTCGATCCCTCCAAATATCGTGCCAAACATATGAGGGATTCAACCTTAACCGTGCAACAAAAATAATCAGAGGATGGAAAATATTTAGATCGTATCAACCTACATGATAATGTATTAGGGGATGTAAGAAGCTTCCAACCTTGCTTGTCCAATAAAGAAACTTTGAACTTTGATAAATCTCAGAAACCCATCCCTCCATTTTTCTTTAAATCGTAAAGATCTTTCTAAGAGCACCAGTGAATGCCTTTCTTCTTTGCGAAATTTTGCCACAAAAACAAGCTAGTAGACCTTCTAGCTCGCTACATAAACTTTTAGGCAAGAGGAAACAATTCATAGCAAAAATAGGGATCGCTTGCAAAATCGACTTGATAAACACCTATTTACCCCATGGGATAAACTCCGAATACTCCATGAATTGACCCATGCTATAATGCGTTCCTTGAAATAAGTAAAGACTTTTTTTCTTGTTTTGTCCCACTAAGGCTCACAATCCCAAATATTTCTCTGGATTCAAGGAACTAGAGACCCCTAAGATTCTTCGCACATCAATTCGATTACCATCCACAACATTTGTGCTGAAAAATAGCCCGGATTTATCAAAATTTAGCAATTGCCTAGAACTTTGCCCATATATTTGAAGGATCTCTTCTATCGTTACGGTATACAAGGCCATTGCTTTACCAAAAATAAGGCAATAATTTGCAAACATTAGATGTGAGAATAATGGGGCGTACCAATTTATTTTAACCCCTAACAAGTCATCTCCACAATGTATTGGCGAATAAGCGAGAATAAGGCCTCGCTACAAATGAGGAATAAATACAGACTAAGAGGGTTGCCCTACCTGTAATACCCCCAACTCGTATATGACCCGAATACGAGTATGAGGTGTCACATTAACTTTTCAAATGTTTTCTTTACAAATGACTAAAATTCAAATTCTTAATTCAAGAAAATGATTACTTTTCATTTATTTAAAATCAATTGGTTTTACAAAACATATCAGAGCATATTCAACTCAATTCTATTAGTACATGCCAACTATATTCAATATAACAAAATACATAATCATATACATTTCTTTTCTGATCTGAACTTCGTAAAGGAGACGCTGACCTGTCTTGCTCCTCTTAGTTTCTCTTCTTGCTTTCCTAAACCTACGTGTGAAACACTCTCACGCTAAGTTGATGACTTAGTGAGGCATATAAAACTTATAACGAAATTCTAACTAATAAACAATGCATGAAATTTCATATGATTTACATAATACCTTTCATATCATAACAACTTATGCATCATATAATGCACATATCATTTCTCAAGGACACACATAACATCATGCCAAGTTTATTTATTTTATCTCTTTATTAGCCCATGTACACATGTGAAAACTTAAGGTATGCGAGTGCTTTGAGGTTGTGCACACATATGCTATCACCACGGCTCGTATAAGGGTCCACTGAGTGGCATGCGAAATGTATCCTGAAGGACCTATGCATGTGTCCCGAAGGACCTATCCATATGTCCCGAAGAAAATAGGTAACCTGTCCATATGTCCCGAAGGACATAGGTAATCTTGTCCATATGTCCCGAAGAACATAGGTAACCCTCGACTCTTGGCATGCCAACTATACCTCTAGCCCTCTTGAAACATAACATTGGCATGATTATTATTTATATCATTTCACATATTCACATGTACATGTCACTTTTCATATGATTTCATATTCATATATCACTTAGCTTATAACATTTCTCATGTGTTCATATGACATGTATATCATTTCTATATCATGTTCACATATATTTCCCATAAATCACATATATCACATAAACCACATAACACATTATCTCTTATATCCTTTCTCATATGTTCACAATGTCATATCATATAATTCATAATTTAGTATCACATAACTTATATCATATTATTATGTGTTCACATATATCATGGACACTTAACATATATCATATAAACATGTATTCTCATATAGCTCCATAGATCTTTAGCATATAACTTATCTTATATGTTCGTATCATCACTTTTTATTCAAGTTTCCTAATTGATATACTATTCCCATTTCATTCTATAATTCAATCTTATTTAGTTTTCTTCAATTCTCCTTAAATCATATAACTCTATTATACTAATTCTCATAAATAATCATACCACTATGTACTTGTCCAACTCATGTTTTTATTATTCATATAACCTTTACACATGTTTACCTAGTTTCTATCGTTTCTCATGAATTCACTTTCATCATATTCTCCTATTATTACATATTTTATCTCATAACCATATATTCACGTAGTCTTATATTTCATTATCATATGACTTATATTTGTTCTCTTATGACTCTTCATAGACATATATTTTCATTTTCATAGATCGCATAGATCTTATCACATGACTTATCTTTTATACTCACATAAACCACATATCACATACAAGAACATATCACCTCATATAATAAAGCTTACATACATTTCATGTCATTCACATACTTATAATCAAGACTTCATGCATTATAACTATCGGAAATAGACTTATCACAAGTCCAATTTCCATATAATCCTATAAAATAAGATGCACTCACCTGACTTCACTAGTCAATATTGATCCCTTATCTCTTCTCGATGACTATTACTTGTAAACTTGACCGAACGTTGCTCTCGATCTATATCTACACAAATACGCAATTTAATGAATGTCGAGATTCGAATTACTTAATACGATTCATATCAATATTAACTAATTAAAACCCCAATTCCAATTTTCTAACTTAAGTGGTATCGGTACCACCCCCATGGTACCGATACCTCTATGCTAGGGCACCGATACCAAAATTAGCTTCGAAGTTCCCCGGGTATCGATACCCTCCACATAGGTATCGATACTATTCATACAGGTATCGATACCCCATGAATCAATTCCTCATAATTTGCCTTGTGGTATCGGTACCTACTTAACAGGTACCGATACCCCCTTACCCAAAAAATGTTTCTTAGCCCAAAAATTTCCAACACTTTACTTAATTCTTCTTATATAACCTCCTTTTAGCCCTTTAAACTTAACTACACATACGTAAACCCTCTTTAAATACTATAACACTTCATTATCTTTAATATCTCACTATAACTCTTGAATCAAAGAATTTCATCAAACTTTCCATGTGTTCTAAATTCAATTCTAATGCTTCAAGCTTCTTAATCCTTCTAATGACAAGTCAAATTCATCAATAAAACTTCAAAAACCTCTTTATATCAATAATTCATTTATACACCCTTAATACAATTTCCTTTATATATCTTCATTCTTGATGTTTTAAGCTTATATAAGTTTTCCCTAAGCTTATATAACACCCAAAGAATAAAACCCAACTCAAAGATTCAAGAATTAACTAGCTGAAACTAAACTTACCTTTTTCGTGGAGCTTACGATAAGAAGAGAGCAAGAGGAGAAAGGTTTCCAGAAATCTCCCCCAATTCCACGTATTTCACTCTTAATAAAGGAAACAAAAATATCCTTTAAGCTGAAAAGACCAAAAATACCCCTTTAATTCATCCATCTTTGCTATTTAATCCAACATTAAAATTCTTTACTTAAGTCATTGAACTTTTAACTTATTTCAAAATTAAGTACAAAGTTTCCAAACTTTACATTTTAGTCACTCTTAATTCTTGCTCGTTGCTCCCAATAAAATTCAGATTTATCAATCTAAAAATTCAGATTGAGCCGCACATCAATAATCTCATCAATCACAGGGGTAGAAGGAGAAAGTTCCATGAGCTCTTCAAAACGTTTTCTCAGTAAGCCGCTTGTCTCTTCTCAATTCTTTGATCCAATCTTTAAGCCCATGTCGAGCATACTCCAGTCTATCATGAATCGTCCCCGAAAAGGCCTCCCACAACTTTCAAACTTCAGGTTCGCATGTTCCTCAAGGAGACAAGCCTCGAATTGAAAATAATGGCGCATATCTGTAGGAATTCATTGGACAATATTTAGAAGAATCGGGCAATGGTCAGACATAGAATGCACTAGATGCGAAAGAGAAAATTGTGGAAAGATTTCCCACAACTCTGAATTCGCGACACTCCTATCCAAACGTTCAAGAATATCAATTTCAATTCGACGCCCTCTCTCCTAAGTTTACCAAACTCCACTGTATCCAATATCTTCAAGTCCTCAATCTTCAAGCGCTTTTTGAAAATCCTCTATTTGCCAACTGTTGCGATCTTAACCACCTTTCTTCTCAGTGGAAAATAAAATCTCAGTAAAATCCCCTATGACCAACCATGACACATTAGGAGTATCATCCAGATGTCTCTACAAATTCCAAGACATGACGTTTTTATTTTCAAGAGCTCCGTAGAACCCAATACATCGCTAAGAAACTCCATCATCCATGTCCGTAATGAGCACATCTATGTGCATGTTCGAGAAAGAGCGTAACCGAACATCACAATCATATTTCCAGGTCAAACACAAACTACCACAATTACCTCGAGCATTAACATCGATACCATTCACATAAACACACGATCTTCTTACACTTTCTATTCTGAATTTCTGTAGTTTTGCTTCAATAAAAAAACTACATATGGGTTATTGTCTCGCAGCAAGTGCTAGAGCCGCCCTACCGCCGGAGGCTTTGCCAAACCCCGAGCGTTCCAACTTAGGAATTTCATTGGGTTCGACTGGCCTGTCGCTGGTAGTTTTGTCACACCCTATAAATTGCCACAATATTATAAAATAATTATATCATATAGCACTAAGATATAATAATGAGATTCATGGGATTTTAAACCTTTAAAAAAATCATTAGTGGAAGACAATGGCCTATCCACCATCCCATGTTGTAATTTTTTTTTATTCAAAACAAGATATGGTGGTTTATATTAAATATTGGGTGATAACCCATTATTTCTACAAAAATACCCTCTCCCCGTGTAGTGAACCCAAAACTCATTTTTTTCATTAAGCTCACTCTCAACATCATTCGGCCTGTCTCCTCCGATCGCTGGTGGGGTGCACTATCGTGTTCTTCAGACTCAGCAGCGACCATTGGTCCAACCCCAACTAACTCAGTTCCAAAATCGATCACAGTTAGGTCGAATCGAGAAGGGAAATTGACACCCAAGACCCCGATCGTTATTTTAAATTTATCGATTTCGACCATTTCAATGACCGTCTTGTTTCACCGCCCCGATTTCGGACTCCTCGTAGCCTTCTGATCAAAACCCAGTAGGTGGGTTGCGTTGACATTTACGTTTCGTCGTGTCCGCAATATTTAAAGTCAGAAAGTTTATTTATATAATATTTCAGTGTTTTAGATTGAAAACATATTATAGTTGGTGTTGGTTTATATTGTTGATAAATAGTTTTAAAAGAGTGTTTGATACGTAATTAATTTTGGTTATAGTGGTATTTTTGTAAATAATATTAAAAGAATGACTAATACGTAATTAATTTCGGTTATGGTGGTATTTTTGTAAATCGTTTTAAAAGAGTGACTAATACATAATTAATTTCGGTTATGGTAGTATTTTTGTAAATAGCTTTAAAAGGTAACTATTACATTATTAATTTCGGTTATGGTGTTATTTTTGTAAATATTTTTAAAAGGGTGCCTAATACGTAATTAATTTCTGTTAGGTGCTATTTTTGTAAATTTTTTTTTAAAAGGGTGCCTAATACGTAATTAATTTTTGTAAGGGTGATATTTTTGTAAAAGTTGACTGTTTACTGTTGATCACCGTTGAACGGCCATTAAACGACCGTTGATTTTGTCTGGGTATACATATTCTGACATTGTTCGACGTCCTGAGTCCGAATACGAAGTCCGTTTTACCAAACTCAAAACCGAAAGTCTCCGAATTAGCCCGTAAACCTAAAAAATTCATATTTATCTAAGTGTTTTAATTTTGTTAATTTAACTGAATGATCAAGGACTAATTATAGTTATGTTAAAGGTACTCAGGGATCTCTTGACTGTTTCACTACTCGACCCGGTTCCTCCCGATCCGCTCGTCCATGTGAAGCCGTGAATACTCGTATAGTTCTAAAACCCTGTTAGTTATTCTGTTTAGAATATTATTCCGAATATAATCCTGTTCTGATATGGCTTAGGTTTCCGTTTAGTCGAAGAACCTAGTTAAGTTGGTGCTCGATAGATCTTCCGGACTGACCCTATTATCAAGGTGTGTTCCTTATGTGCATAATAAATGTTTTAAATATCTGTTTGAAATCTCATGTGCACATGATTGTTTTCTCTGATTTGAAATACACTGTTTGATCTGATTTATCTACTGAATGATTTATCTGATTCTGGATTTACTGAAATGTAAAGTATGATTGTCCGACTTATGATTTATGGATACTGGTTTACTGAACTGATGATCTGTCTGAACTCTGAATTACTGTTATTACTGGTTACTGTCTGAAAAATGTTTTCTACAGGGTATTCTGGGTTTTGGTATAAGACTATGGCAGGTTCAGTCGCTGTTGGTAATTCCTCGGATAGGTTCAACACCGATTGGTAATTCCTTATGGACCTAAGTTGAGCCTTGGGTAGGCTTTACGGTCCTGAGAATTTTATAAGGTAAGCCTTATTGGCCCCGAGAATTATCTTGGGTAGGCTCGCAGGCCCCAAAGTACTCCCTTAGGTTGTGCATTTCTAGGGATCTACACATGGCGTTCGGTTGGAGGACGATGCAGAGTTTTTAAATTAAAAACTCCTAAGATGTTTTAATGATTGTGATATTTACTGGTTTTAAAAATCATAACTGTATGTTTTTATTTCTGCACTGTTGGGACACACTGAGCCTCTAGCTCACTTTTCAAACTGTTTTACCCGTTTCAGATACTCTCGGATTAGACACTCCGTATCAGGCACTTGGAGGATTGGTACATTTAGTTCAGAGTATTTTGTTGTAATATTCTGTCTTCTGAATTATTTTTAATTATGGTGACATGTACCTTATTTTTAAAGTATTTATCGTTTTATGACGAATTCTACTTTTGTTACTGATATTTGATTTTCGATGGTACAGATTTATTTCATGTAATATTTTATCTGGTCTTTTTCATATTTTATATTTATGAATTTAGTTTTTATAGTTAATTATTATATACTTTTATATAAAGGTAATTTGTAATATGATTTTAAATTATTAAATAAGGTTTTTGGAAAAATGCCTTTCAGAATCTTTAATGTAATCTGTTAGACTTAGCCGAAACGCATAGGCTGGGTATAGGTGGTTACATTTAATTGGTATCAGAGCTTTTGGTTTTTAAATCTCGGACAGTGAAAGAGTCCAAACTGAAAATACGGTTTGAAATGTTTTACAAAACAAGTCAGTAAGGTTATGTCACAAAGTTTTTACGATTTTAATTGTATTCGAGACTCCAAGTGCCTATCTAATCCTAGGTTTTATCTTCTGTAGTAAACTCGAGATCCACCAAGATGAGTACTAGACGTGGTCGTCGAACTAGCCGTGGTCGCGACAGAGTGGCTAGATTTGCAGACCCGGTAGATGAGATACGTATAGATCCTCAACCTCCGATAAATGATCCTGCTCCAATTACCTCGACGAATTTGCCTTCTGCCTCTGGTATTAGCATGACTGCTCCGATAAGAAGAGCTACTAGTACTGAGCATGAGTCCAGCAGAGTTGTATTAGATGAGAATTTTGGTAGACAATTTCTTCAGATGATTCAGGGAGCTGTCAGAACTGCTGGCGTTGTACCCGAGGTTTCTATCTCTCAGGCCCTTTTTGCAAATGGAGTCAGGACGTTTAGTGGCCTTACTGGTGGAGATCCGACTAAGGCTGAGGATTGGCTTAGTGATACTGAGCGACGCATGGATCAGTTAGGTTTAGATCTGCATCAACATTATTTAGGAGCAATTTCTATGTTGGATGGGAATGCTCACACCTGATGGGAGTCAGCGGTTAGTAGTGTTCAGACCAATCGTTTGACCTGAGATTTCTTTAGAGAGCGCTTTAGGAGTCGTTTCCTAGGAGAGCGTTATTTAACTCAGAGACAACAGCAGTTTCAAGACTTGGTTCAGGGAGTTATGATCGTTTCTGAGTACGAGATTGAGTTCTTGAAATTGTTGAAGTATGGATTCAGTCTGGTACCTACCGAGAGAGATAGATGCCGAAAGTTTACTCATGGACTTCAATTCGAGTTACGTCGCCAGGTAGTTACTCATCAGGACGAGATATACAATATTGTAGTTGGGAGAGCAAAAGACGTGGAGGAAGTCGAGGCTTCTGCACCTGACAGTGATAGAGTAGGTCTAGAACGATCTAGGAAGCCTTCTGGTCAGTCTGCACCTTTTACACGCCCTGATAAAAGATCTCGTACTGTTCCTCATCAGATGAGTCGGTCTGATTCGAGGCCTGCATCCCCTCCACATATTGTAGCTAGTCGAGAGGATTCTGTATATTCCACTATGAAATTGAGTTGTGAGTTCTGTGGAAATCAACACGGAGGAGAGTGTCGTAAGAAGATGGGTACCTGTTTTCGTTGTGGATCTAGCAAGCATTTCTTGAGAAATTGTCCATATCCAGCTCCTGTCGATCAGACACCTGTTCAAACTCCTATATGTTCTCAGGCCTCTGTTCAGACTTCAGATATTAGTCATAGTCAGGGTAGGACTTCCAGATCTGTTTCTAGGGTTGACAGTAGAGCCAGATCGCAGAGTAGAAGACCAGATGCTTCTGAGGCTCGAAAGCTTGCTCTTGTTTACGCTACCCGAAGTTCCGGTGATCGATTTGAGTTCAATACTTCTGCAGGTATATTTATTGTTAATTCTGTTTCATGCCATACATTTTTAACAACCCTCTTTCTATACCCGAGTTTCATAACATAAGACCCTAAGACTTTGGATTAAGGCACTGAGACCATGTTTCCGCTCTGAGTCTATTAAGATATTTTGATATTGTCAAATTAGCTTTGTCAAATAAAGGATCTATCAGAGACCTAATCTCAGTTTCTAATCCGTTTCTGATGAATTTCAAGGACAAAATTTCTTTTAGAGGGGGAGAATTATCACACCCCATAATTGCCACAATATTATAACATAATTATATTATATAGCACTAAGATATAATAATGGGATTCATGGGATTTTAAACCTTTAAAAAAATCTTTAGTAGACAATGGCCTATCCACCATCCCATGTTGTAATTTTTTATTCAAAACAAGAGATGGTGGTTTATATTAAATATTGGGTGATAACCTATTATTTCTGTAAAAATACCCTCTCCCCGTGTAGTGAACCCAAAACTGATTTTTTTTCATTAAGCTCACTCTCGACATCATTCGGCCTGTCTCCTCCGATCGGCGGTGGGGTGCATTATCGTGTTCTTCAGACTCAGCAGCGACCATTGGTCTAACCCCGACTAACTTAGTTTCGAAATCGGTCATAGTTAGGTTGAATCGAGAAGGGAAATCGACACCCAAAACCCCGATCGTCATTTTAATTTTATCGATTTCGACCATTTCAATGACCGTCTTGTTTCACCACCCCGATTTCAGACTCCTCGTAGCCTTCCGATCAAAACCCAGTAGGTGGGTTGCGTTGACATTTACATTTCGTCCATCTGCCATAGGTAAAGTCAGAACGTTTAATTTAGATAATATTTCAATGTTTTAGATTGAAAATATATTATAGTTGGTGTTGGTTTATATTGTTGATAAATAGTTTTAAAAGAGTGGCTGATACGTAATTAATTTCCGTTATAGTGGTATTTTTGTAAATAGTATTAAAAGAGTGACTAATACGTAATTAATTTCGATTATGGTGGTATTTTTGTAAATAGTTTTAAAAGAGTGACTAATACGTAATTAATTTCGGTTATGGTGGTATTTTTGTAAATAGTTTTAAAAGGATGACTAATACGTAATTAATTTCAGTTATGGTGTTATTTTTGTAAATATTTTTAAAAGGGTGCCAAATACGTAATTAATTTCTATTTGGTGCTATTTTTGTAAATATTTTTAAAAGGGTGCCTAATACGTAATTAATTTCTATTAGGTGTTATTTTTGTAAATATTTTTAAAAGGTGCCTAATACGTAATTAATTTCTGTAAGGGTGCTATTTTTGCAAAAGTTGATTGTTTACTGTTGACCACCGTTGACCATAACTTTGACCAGCGTTGACCGGCCATTAAACGACCGTTGATTTTGTCCGGGTATACATATTCTGACATTTTTCGACATCCTGAGTCCGATTCCAAAGTCTGTTTTACCAAATTCAAAACCGAAAACCTCCGAATTAGCCTGTAAACCTGAAAAATTCATATTTATCTAAGTGTTTTAATTTAGTTAATTGAACTGAATGGTCAAGGACTAATTATAGTTATGTTAAAGGTACTCGAGGATCTCCTGACTGTTTCACTGCTCAACCCGGTTCCTCCCGATCCGCTCGTCCACGAGAAGCCGTGAATACTCGTATAGTTCTAAAACCCTGTTAGTTATTCTGTTTAAAATATTATTCTGAATATATTCTTGTTCTGATATGGCTTAGGTTCCCGTTCATTCGAAGAGCCTAGTGAAACTGGTGCTCGATAGATCTTCCGGACTGACCCTATTATAGAGGTATGTTCCTTATGTGCAGAATAAATGTTTTAAATATATGTTTGAAATCTCATGTGCACATGATTGGTTTCTCTGATTTGAAATACAATGTTTGATTTGATTTGTCTATTGAATGATTTATCTGATTCTGGATTTACTGAAATGTAAAGTATGATTGCCCGTCTTATGATTTATGGATACTGGTTTACTAAACCGATGATCTGTCTGAACTCTGAATTACTGTTACTACTGGTTACCGTCTGAAAAATGTTTTCTACGGTGTACTCTGGGTTCTGGTATGAAGACTCTGGCATGTTCAGTCGCTGTTGGTAATTCCTCGGATAAGTTCAACACCGATTGATAATTCCTTATGGACCTAAGTTGAGCCTTGGGTAGGCTTTGCGGCCTTGAGAATTTTCTTGGGTAAGCCTTAGTGGCCCCGAGAATTGTCTTGTGTAGGCTCGCAGGCCCCAAGGTACTCCCTTAGGTTGTGCATTTCTGGGGATCTTCACATGGCGTTCAGTTGGAGGACGATGCAGAGTTTTTAATTTAAAAACTCCTAAGATGTTTTAATGATTGTGATCTGTACTGGTTTTAAAAATCATAATTGTATGTTTTTATTTCTGCACTGTTGGGACACACTGAGCCTCTAGCTCACTTTTCAAACTGCTTGACCCCTTTCAGATACTCTCGGATTAGACACTCCGTCTCAGGCACTTGGAGGATTGGTACATTTAGTTCAGAATATTTTGTTGTAATATTCTGTCTTCTGAACTGTTTTTAATTATAGTGACATGTACCTTATTTTTGAAATATTTATCGTTTTATGACAAATTCTGCTTTTGTTACTGATATTTGATTTTCGATGCTTCGAATTTATTTCATGTAATATTTTATATGGTTTATTTCATGTTTTATATTTACGAATTTAGTTTTTATAGTTAATTATTATATACTTTTATATAAATGTCATTTGTAATATGATTTTAAATTATTGAATAAGGTTTTAGGTAAAATTCCTTTCAGAATCTTTAATGTAATCCGCTAGACTTAGTCGAAGCACATAGACCGGATGTAGGGGTTACAAGTTTGTTATCACCATTCACAATCGAACCTTGTAAGCTAGCCCCAGGCGTCGGAGATTGACGCTGGCGTTTTGAACTGTCAGCTTTTCCTGTCAGCTTTTCCAAGCGGGAAATTTTCCTTCTCTCTTGTCTTAACAATATCCATGGACGACATTTGAGCCATTTTATCAACCTGAATGTCCATCCTATTATCATAGCACGAGAGTTGTCATAACAATATCCAAGTGAGAACTTTTCCTTCTCCCCTGTCATAACAATATCCATGGACGACATTTGAGCCATTTTATCAAACTGAATGTCCTTCCTATTAGCATAGCACGAGAACTTCCTATATACATAGGCCAAGACACCTCCCCATTAACCTCCAATTAGGTTTGTTCTGCCACGTCCCCCCCAACAACACTAGATCCACTCGCAGCCAAATCCGACTTAACTGAATCACTCATTCCTTCCTCATCCCTTAACCAAAGGCTGGTTGTGATGCCTCTCTGTCTCGGAGGAGCATGCAATGAGACATCCCACTGAAACTCATAATCTTTCTTATCCTTCAGTATGGATCGAGGAAAATCTTTCCCCGTGTCTGAGTTTACCACACAAGAAGCAAAATAATCGAAGCTTATCATATTGAAACAGTGCATAAGTATGCTTTCCATTCAGTAGTACCAACTTCTTCTTTCTTTTTAGCGGATAACGAATGTCTATCCGTATATGAGCCTTGATACGTCCCCTATATCCCAAAGATATAACCGAAGCATCATAGGAAAAAATATTTCCAATAAAATCACCCAATTGTTTTGCGTCACCCTCAGAGACAAACCCCACCGGCAAGTCAACAATCTGAAGCCAAAAGTTCACTGTTTGTAAGGGAACTAACATTGGATCTTAGTCCGCTCCAATCCTTTGTAGGACCAAAAGATGGGAATTAAAGTACCATGGTCTATTCATCTCAATCTGATCCGTATCAATAACACGATTAAAACAAAGCAGGAATCTCCTTTCTCCCAACTTCGTAATAGAAATACCGCTGATTGGGTACTTTAGTTCCCATCTTTTGGTCCCTTCATCGCAATCCGATCCGCATCAACTAACATGATAATAACATTAGCCAAGGTGGTCCTCATCACCTGTACGTTTATCATATTGGAAGTAAGAAAAAATCCCACAAAGCAGTTCTCGTAGGAGATCCCAGAATCCTTTTCGCCAAGAGTAATGGGTAACGCAATATCCTCTTTATCCTTTAAGTATAGCCCATCCAGATGCTGTTCGATATCCCCCATAGCAATAGAGCAAAATAATCACTCGAATTGAGAATAAAAAAAATAGTGAACTAATAAAAAAAACAAAAGAAAAAGTAAAAACTAGAAGGGCAAAACCCTAGGCGTGTCACGAGACAGAGAGAAAAGGGCAAATAACTCATGAGAAAAAAAATTATCTACTCGTTCAATACTTTTATTAATTTGTCAATATGAGATTCGAAGTAAAAAATCACAATAGATATTAATATTTTTAATGTCTTTTATGGAAATAAATTTTACTATATATATCAAAATATTTATCCTTAAAACTAACTTCAAATCATTAATTTTTGTTTATAGATTATGTATTATGAATTTTTAAATTTTATGTGTTTCTTATGTTACCCGCTACGCTAGTCTACTTTACCTCCTTAATGTATTGCTGATATTTTTTCCCATTAATTTTGGATAAATACAAGGTAATATGTGTTCAAAGATAATTCTCAATCATTTGACATTGAACGCTCATACCCCTAACATTTATGATACTCGAACCCAAGACCTCAAAAAATATGAGCATTTCCTTTACCACCAAGTTCATTGGGTTGGTGTATGCATTGCTGCTATTATATTTGCTGATGGACGATTAAATGAATGATGGTTTAAAATTAAAAAATTAAAAAAGAAAGAAAGAATAAAGTTGCATGCGGACAACATTAGTATATAATTTGGTTGTGATAAAATAAAATAATTATTAATTTTATTCAGCTCAAACTCCACATCAATTAAATAAAGTGAAATTACTTCAAATCTAAATTAAAATAACAATAACTAAATAGAGTGCGTTTGTCCTTTATTATTCAATAACTATTTTTATTATTTTAAATATGAATTATTATTTTATACATAAATTATATAAATTTTATTTTATAAAATCAGTCTATTTCAATCCTAAATATTAAATTCTAAAGTAAACATGAAATCTTAAAGCTTAAAATTCTAAAATTAAATCATTCTAAGACTTAAAACCATAAACTATAAATACAATACATCCTTAGCTCCTTAATTTCACAAGCTACTATTTTTACATGTTCTTTTTATAGATTAGTTTCTGTTTGATTTCAATCTCTTTATATCATGACATGGATTTGATCATATCTCTTCAACATAGAAATATGGTAGCTCCAAATGCTAGGATAGATAACCAATTATTTCAAGAATTTTATAAGGTTCAATATATGGTGGACCAAATAGATGATTTACCCAAAGTTTACTGAAAAACTTATGTAACGATAATGTATATAAATAGTAAGAACGAAGGCCGTATTGTAAATAATGAAATTCATATATAATTTGAAAGGATAGTAATGAGATATTATTTGATCCTTTAATAGCTTAGGTTGAGAGATTTTAAAAAATTATATGAAAAAAATACTCCCAACGTATAATAAAATAGTTATTTTGCTCATTATTCTTTCTTCGAAACATTTTAACCTACAACGTTTTATTTCGGGATAAAAAGACTTCTCCGTTGATGAAAATCCTTTGCCAACAAACGATTAACATTAAAAAATAGTGACATTTTTTATCCTAAAATAAAATTCGAGTCAATATTTTAAAGATATATTTTTTGACATTATATCTAAAATAACTTGGAAAAGTTTCAAGGTCAAAGAATGAGAATAAGAAATATGTTTTTTCTATTAATCTAGGGTAAGTATAAGACAATATTTGTTTAAAGATAACTACTCCCAATCATTTTATATTTGATGCTTATACACCTCACAATCCTGGTATTCGAATTATATATAAAGTGGTGGAACACAATGGAGGCTATTTGGGGCCACGTCTCAAAAAAAATTAAAAATTATAATTTAAACCTTTAAAATTTTCAAAATATTTATTTTGGCACACACAAATTTTTGGGAGATTTATATTAATCTTTTAATGTTTTGAATATTCTTAATTAAAATCCTCCCATAATTTTTAAAAATTCTCATTAAGCATCTCAAAATTTCAAAAATTCTAGTTAGACCCTAAATTGAACCCTTTAAAATGTTTAACATTTTAATTTAAACCTCTAATTTTTTTTAAATTTTAAGTTGCCCCCAAACTTTATCACCAAATTCCGTCAATGTATATATATATATATATATATATACATGCATATTCATAGCGATAAGGAGATGATGGTGGCTAACATATCTTTAGTGAATCAATTTTCCAGTTGATGAGTTGGTTACGAGCACATGAGAGTGTCCCTACCATGTTCTACAATGAGAATTTTCATGAGTTTGAAGCACTATTGTTTTCGTGTTCTGGTGTAGCACCAGCATGTTCATATTAATTGTATGGCACATTTGGACAATTTCTTTAGACTTACCAACATACCTACAGTAGATGGACCAAACGCAGATTGTATGCATTAATACCGGAAATATACTGAAATGAAAGAATGAATTTCAAAATTTTGATCCAAAATGAATGAATGAATGAATCAAAACCTACTCAAAGAATTAAATGTTTGATCTAACACCTTGCTATTTACACTCTTCCCTTTTTCCTAATCTCATAAAGTCAAACAACTAACTCCATTGTTGCTACTTGCAAGCTGATTCACTTACCTCCCTCCTTCGGCTGCCGCTGACGGCAAACCAACTCTTCCAAGGCTTCTTTCATCCACAAATGAGGACATTCCTCTCTAGCTTTCGACACCGACACCTGCAAAATAACAACACCGTATGATTATTACATCTCAATCAAAGAAATGCTATTTGATTTTCCTTGTTTTTTCAGCGAAATACATACCCATTCCCGTTTTCTGATATTTTTCTCGGGCCATTGATCTAACTCTTGCTTGACAAGCAAAGGAAACATGTGGCCTTCATGGAATATACTCTGCCTTTTGCTCTTGTAAGACCATTTACCCAATTTACACTGCAAAATAAACACCCGAATAAGAAACTACAAGCATTGCAATGAAGATGTTAAACTTGAAGAACGCATGGTATAGATGCTAACTTCGATCTCGCCGAGGACACCGGCTTCCTCGATCGTCTCTCTAATGGCTGCTTCTTCCATGGATTCATCCTTCTCCCAACCGCCTTTGGGGAATAACAGTCCTTTACCATTCTGTGCATTAATTACAACAACTTCAATGGCATCATCAATTGAATTTGCTTCTTCCGGTGTCTTGTATCTGTACGGAATGCAGCTGCACAAACAAAATATTTAATCAGAAAAAAAAAGATTACATCCAAAGAACCCAAGAAGGAAAATTAGTCAAAATTTAATTATTCATCTACTGGAAATAGACCTAACCAAGCCAGTGTCAGAATTTCATTAAATCAATTGGAAACATAATTTACCAAAAATCAAACCAATAGAAAAGGGAAGTAGGGTTTGGGTTTCTTTAGATCATTCTCGTTCGCAGCATATTTAAAAGAATCAATGAAAGAAAGAAAGAAAGAATAATTACCCAACAACTAATCGAAAGCCTCTGTTATCATAGCGCTGCAAGTGCCTGCCGGTGCGAGGATAAGAAACACGATGAACCAATTTCTCAATTGGCATAGGCAATTTCACAGTGATTCTTTCAAGGAGAGAAAGCAAAGAGTGGAGCAAAGTGGGAAACTTCATAAGAAAGCCCGAGATTCCTCCCATGGCTTCAGATAAGAGAAAATTTTCCAAAAATAAAAGGATAGTGCAGAGTTTTAGACGTTTTGTGTTGGCCAAATTCACACTCTATATCTATATCTATATCTAGAATTTTGCAATCTTTAGATGTTATGTGAAATTGAACCGCGTCAGGCACTCTTTTTAACTTCTTTTGTAGAGGGTGTGGGGGAGGGAGACGAAGGAAGGAGAAACGAAGGCCTCCATAAAACTTACGCATTATTTTGTTGCCAAAAGTCATATCCTAGTTGTAAATTTTAAAAGCGTAAATTACTATTTAATCATCCAACTATTTGTACATTTACGTTATAATCTTTTAGATATTTTTAAAAGAAAATCATTATCTAATGTTATACATTTTAATTTCATTTTAGACATACGTCTTAAAAATTTAATGATGATGCAAATGTGTCACTATAAGATAAAATAAAGTCACCGTTAAAAAGTTAATGGTGATGTTGACGTTAGGGGTGAGTAAAATCCAACTCTACTCAAAAAATTAATTTTTAAGACTCGACTCGAAAAAATTCGACTCAAATTAACTTTGAGTTGTAATTTCATAACCTCGAATCGACTTGAAAAAAAATTCAAGTTCAAATTGAGTTGTAAAATACAACTTGAATAACTCGAATAGTAACTCAAAATTTTTAGTAATTAGTGGATTGATTTTCAAGTTTGAGTCGAGTCTCTCGACTCTGTATGATATATGTACATCACATATGAAAAAAATATAAAACATATATATATATATATGAAAAAAATATAAAACATATATATATATATATGTCTCTCGAGTCTCTTCATGTTTCCTCTTTTAAATTAGCCGGATCTTATGTTTCTGTCTATATGCAGAGATTCTTTCGCAGGGATTATTATGCAGGGATAAATTCCAGTTACAGACGCACATATGATTTTAATGACGGCATATGAATACTGATTAGCTATGTATTTATGTATTTATTTATACATGCATTGCATTTTATCTAAATTTTTAATTTTCTGACTGCCGGAGGTCTTCCACGGAAGCTACTCTCAACCTGGCGTTGGGGGTAGCCTACTACCCTACCTCCCCCTTACCCCATACATATGGGAATTGGGTTTTGTTGTTGTTGTTGTTGTTGTTGTTGTTATAAAAAGCCATTTAAATTATAATCAAATAATATCATAATATTATAAATAATTATAATTAAATTCAAATAGAAACTCAAAAATTCGACTCGACTCGTCACGACTCAAATTTCATAAATTTGAATCGACTCGAATTTTTTTTACTCAACTCCAAGTTATAAAATATGACTCATCAACTCGATTAACTTAAATTTTTTTGACTTGACACGACTTAACTTGATCGAACGCTCATCCCAAGCTAACGTATCACTAGAAGGTAAAGTCATATCATTATTAAAAAAAATATCATGTTAACAGTTTTGTTAATTTTTTAAAAGTAAATAATCAAAATGAAACTAAAAGTTATGTATGATTTTGAAAAATGTTTAGGTGATCAAAACATATTTATGCAAATAGTTAAATGACTAAGTACATAATTTACCCATTTTAAAAGATTCCTCCCACACGCATTGTAATTTTATTACTTATTTTATTCATTATTAATAACTTAATGTAAAGGTCAAAGCAAATATCATTATCGCCCGCTTCATATTATCGTTAAAAAGTATTTTTCTAAAAAAATAGAATGTTTATTTCAAATATAATAATATAATAAAAAAATACTTATTAGGAGATGAAAAACATGAACAATTAAATAATTCAACTCAAACGAGATTCTCTAGAAGTTTTTAAATTTTGTAGGCCGACATAAATTTTTTTATTAATATGAATAAATATAAAAAAATATTTGTTTAAAGATAACTATCAATTATATGATATTGAACTCTCGTATCTATGTCACTGTTAGTGTTCGAATTTATAATCTCAAGAAATAACAATAATTTATTTATTACCCAGGTCACAGGATTTGTGCACCGATATAAAAATTTAATATAAGTAGATTGAGTCTATTTTTGGTTGATATTAAATGTATACTCAATTCATTTTTTAAAATGTTGAATTATTTACAATTTTAATTTAATTAATATCGATTTTAATTTAAGTCATAAAATTAATAATATAAAACATTTGCATGAATTTATAATATTTAGCTCATGTTAATATAATTAATTAAAAATGAACTTTTTTTTTTCTAGAATCGCATTGTAGGAAAAAAAATCTATAACGGGGGCCAATAGGCAAGGATTGTAGGAATGACGCGCATGAGAGAGCGTTTGCTTACAGTTGCGTTCCTTTGCGTCATAAACGGGAATTGGTGTTTGTGATTGGTGAGCGCGTGTGAGTAACACGCGACACTCGGTTAATGATTGAAGCCAATGTCGTGTAACACGGTTTTCGGTGCCGCAATGAAGTCCTCTTTTGCTCTGTCTTAATTTCCTTTAAGTCGCAATCATATTTTATGAATAAATCAACCCTTGGAAGGTTCTATCTTTACAATTTAGACAAAAGTTTTTATGGAAATGGTCTATACTCAAGCAGTTTAAGTGATAAAATAATTATTATTATTTTTTAAAATTTTAAGTCTGAATACCATGAATACTAACGGTATGAGCGTCAAATGTTATATAGTTGAGAATTATCTTTGAATAAATATTTATATTTACATCAGATTAATAAAAAAATTATATATTTTTAAATCAATTTTTGAATTGGATTAAGTTTTAGTCACCCCTAACAAGAGGATAAGTTTTTTTTTAATTATGCTCATTTTGATACGTCAAGTAGATTTCCATGCTTTTTATAACCTTATTATATGGCATGTCAGTTCATAAAAATCTTGTGCATTCTTAACTAATCAGACAAACTTATCTCAAATTGTATGCAAACGAAACATACTCATCATCATTCAAACATCATACTTAGCACATAAATCGCCTAATAACATACATTTAATTCAACTATAAGTCTTCTTTTTTAAATGTGCCCTATGCATAAATCATCTATCCATTTATTCGTATGCTATATATAAACTTCATTAGCTTGTAGCATCGTAGAAATGCATCATTGACCATGCTTATCTTATAAATTCCATACAAATATCATATATTCTCATCAAGATCATCATATAATGTATCTTTTACATATAAGAACCTCTTATGAACTCTATAACTATATGCATACCACTTAATAGTTTATCAAAATATACTTCGATATGTTGTCTTGTGACTAGTCTTTTGGCATGACTCCCATTAAATCCTTAATAGTACCTGGTATATATGTTTAAAAATGAAATGTGCGTTTAGCTTAGAGCACACTGAAACATATCATAAATATAATTCAAATAACACATATACATATAAACATAACCATATAAACATCATATCTATTACAAACATACTCAAATCATGCAATAAGTTTATAGTAAGTACATAAGTATTCCATTATCATCACTTAATTTATGAATTGCATAATGTATTAATGTAGACATATATTATATCATGAAACAATGTAATTTAGCAATCATGTTGGAAGCGTGAATGGACACTCGGTAAACTTTATAACTCACACAATATTATTGATACAAACCAAAATACGATACAACACAAACACAATAAACAGACGCTGACTGCGACTAGTTTTACAAGCACCACTAATAAAAGCTTTGCTAAGCTTCTCTCAATCTCTCGGTTTTTCCTTCACATTTTTTAACTCCTACGTATCAAACCTTTATATAAGCATTTTAACCGCCTCGTTTGCAGCTTATCTTTATCATAATTTCTAAGCTTTTCATATGTTGCCGCCACTTCATCCTTGTGTTATTATCGTAATTAAGTTTTCTTGTTGTGTTGTGTAGAACTATGTTTCGATATAACAAATTAAGGCAAAATGTTTTTGGACTTGAATTAAATTTATTCAAAGTTTTCAAAAGGTTTCAAAAATAATTCAAAGTCCATTAAATTCGGATTTGAGCAAAAATGCAAAGAAGTACCGATATTGCTTCATGTAGTATCGATACCACATGAATGGGTACCGATACCCATTGTGTAGTATCGATACCCTAGGAAAGTGTAGTATCGATACCATCAGGGTAGTACCGATACCCTGTTGAGTTAATCGATCGACAAAATAGCCAAGAGGGGGGCGAATTGCACAACTATTTAGAGTGGTTCGACTTTCTCAACCAAAGTCTACGTCCACTACCTTAGCTATTCACACTAAGGATTTTCCAACAAATTCACTAATTTGTTCTTTCTTTTGAGGACAAAGTGTAACCTTACAACTCCCTTAAGAATTATACCCCAAATTCTTGAGAACACTCTCTCCCAAAGAGAAATACACAAATTTGCAAACTTACAGAAAAACCTCACTAGGCAAGATGTTTGCACAATTCTAGAACAAAGAAAGAACACTCAAGAATGAATACAATTGAGTACAAGTAGTGTTCTTGAAAGCAAAAATGAATATTGAATGAAAATAGGCTTGAATTGCTCAAACTTGATGTTTAAGGCTTTCTCTTTGTTTCTCTCACAATTGTTGTTTCTTGTTTTTGATCAATGACTCCTGAGCTTGTTTAAATACACCTTTGATCACTTCTGAACGTTGGGGATCATTGGTGAAGTCAATAGAGCCGTTATGGTGTGAAAACAATTTAATAAACCAGTTAAGAGCGTGTGTGTATCGATACACTCTCAAGGTGTATCAGTACAGTGTGTGTAAAATTCAAATATTTCGACCGTTGGTTGACCTAGTGTATCGGTACACTTGGGGTGTATTGGTACACTAATTGCATTCGATGTTTTAATAAAGCCAGAGTGCATCGATGCATAGGATGTGTATCGGTACACAAACTGCATTCGATGTTTTAATAAAGCTAGGAGTGTATCGATGCATGGTTGTGCATCGGTACACAAAATAGCTTCGATGTTGGGTGTGCATCGATACACTAAAGAGTGTATCGGTACATCCCTTTGTAAAAAAAAAAAATTGGCTCGATTAAGGTTCGAAATACT